GAATCTTTAGGCAAACCGTTCGTTTCGCCGCCATGAAAAACTTCCTAGAGTACAAAATGCGGTTACAAGACGAATTGAGTAAACTAAATTGTAGAGTGTCTTTGACTGCCGATTCTTGGGGTAGTGGTTATAAATATCACTATTTATGTGTGACTTGCCATTGGGTAGATGATCAATGGTTGTTACAAAAACAAATAATCCATTTCAAAATGCTGGAATGCCCCCACCGGTATTAACATTGCTCACCATTTAATCGAAGCAATAAATGAATACAACATTCGAGAAAAAATCCTGTCTATGACAATTGACAATGCAACCTCAATGACATATACTGCTAATTATGTCAAACAAAACTTGACCGATGTAATATTAGATGGTGATGCACTTCATACTAGATGTGTTTTCCATGTTCTTAACTTATGTGTACAGGATAGAATTAGAGCAATTGGTCCATACTACAACAAAATTAGAGATGCTATTATGTCTATTAATAGCTCAAACATGAGATACCAAGAATAGAAGAGTTTTCTAAAGCAACCAAAGATAAGACCAATAAAAATCAAAACCGGTTGCCTAACTAGGTGGAATTCCACCTATGACATGTTAACCAAAGCAATTGAGTACAAGAATCCGTTGACAATTTTTTGCAACAAAAAATTTCCAAACAATGCTATATATGAGGATGATTGGTATAAATGTGAAAGATATATGCAATTTTTACAGTTATTAACTTATTATATAACATGACGTTTTGTTTTTCTTCTGTTTATAATCCTTGTGCTCAAAACTTTCTTTCAAATGCATGTTTACTCGCCCAACTTTTCGCTGATCATTGTAACCAAAGTGACTATGATCAGTATCTTCCAGCAATGGAAACAAAGTGGCGTAAATATTTTAGTGAAATTCCTTTGATTTATATTTTTGCTTCCATATTAGATCCTAGGCAAAAGTATGAAAATACAGTTATGTTAGTTGACATTTATTTTCAATGCATGCTTTTTGACGATAATGTAGAAACCTATAAGAGTAATGTGAAGGATCAGTTTTTTACTTTATATAAAATCTATGAAACCAAATATGGCACCGTTCCTCGCTCAGGCCCTTCCCAACCATCCAAAAATGTACGTAAGAAGGCCAAACATTTATTTTCACAAGCTACTAACTTGATTTCAAGGTTTTCAGGTGATTCATCAATAAGGAGAACGCAAAGCGATGTCTCGGAGTTGCAAATGTACCTAAGTTAAGACTTCACCAAGGGCATGGATGACGATGAGATAAACAACCTCGACCTCCTTGCATGGTGGAAACAACAAAGCACGAAGCATCCAACTTTGGCGATAATGGCACGAGACATTCTTGGTATCCAAGTCTCCTCCGTTGCCTCCGAACGAGCTTTCAGCGCATCCGCGAGGGTTTTAAACGATAGAAGAACAAGTCTAAAACCCGAAACACTTGAAATGTGCGTGTGTTTCAAAGATTGGTTGGATGCTGAAAATCGCTCACAAGACCGTTCTTACGACGACAACGACAACGATGAAGAAACCTCCGCTTCCGACCGTTCGGGTTCGGCTAGTTCCCAATCTATGCAACTAGCCGATGACCTTGAAGGCAAAGACGAAGATGAAGACGAACAAGAAGAATAGACAATTTTGTATATTGTACGATTTTTATCATTATTAATATTATCATTTTACGATTTTTATCATTATCCAATTTTTGTTTAATATCCTTGTACGATTTTTATCATTATTATCATTGTACAATATTTCAATTAATTATAATATGAAGTATGCATTATTCACATCCAAAGTCCAATTTGCCTTTTTTTCCCGTTAAGTTATAATTTGTAAATTAATATAACAAAAAAAAAATTATAATAATACAAAAATAAATATAATAAATTATAAACATTAAACTAAAAAGTAATAGTATAAACTAAATATATAAATATAAATATTAAATATAAAAAATAAAAAATAATAAAACATAAATATTAAACTTAATTTATTTTAGAAAAATAATAATATAAGATTATAACTTATAAGCTATAAATTATTAAAAAAAAAAAAAAAAAAAAAGGGAAGCAAAGGCAGAAGTCCACCAGGCCAGCCCGGCACGAGCCCGCTCGGCACGTGGGCCGTGCCGTGCCGTGGGCTGGCCTGCGATTTTGGGTGGCATGACACAGCCCGCCGAAGACCGTGGCCCGCCAGGCATGGCCCGCGACGGCCCGTTGCCCACCTTTATATCCCACCTTGCAAGTTGCCACTATGTGAGATAGAGTAGTACAGTGTTCCCTACTGTATTTTTGTTCGTGTTTTTTGAATTAAATAATTTTATGAACGAAGATATCGAATTAGTTTGTTTCAAAGTCTTAGGATTCATGGTTGCAAAATTATTGTTAGCAATAATGGAATTGAAGCAGTTAGCAATTATGTGTATCTTTTTATATATAATATCTTTTTGAATGGGGGAGTAGTTAAATTGTCTACTTAATTATTGTTAGTAATTTGGCAATGTCCATTCTGTTGGGAAATAAATTACATTTTCATTTTCTAACACAATCCAAATGAAAACGCATTGAAACCCATAATTCTAACAAATTTTATTTTCATTAATCCTTGAGACTAGCTAAGGCTCATGAATTTTTGAGACTAGCAACATCAACGACTAGGACAAATGTACTATAGATACTAGCTAAGGATTAATCCTTGAGACTCTTTCTCAAAAGAATAAAAAATAAAAATCCTTGAGACTCCATGCTTGGGCTTTTAGACAATGAAGGCTAGGATTTAGGGCTTAGCTCATGATTATATCCCCTTATTTCAATTTATAAGATATTGGGAAAAAATAACTTAAAACGTCGAAAAATAATGTTCAAGAGCTCAAACAAGAGAAAAACTAAACTCCATCCGACCCGAGTTAAAAGAATAATTTTGACCCGAACATATCCGACCTGAACAGATCCGATCCAAATAGACCCAACCTAAACTTTATCCAATAATCTGAATTGACATCTCTATGTGGGAGTAGTTAAATTGTCTACTTGTTAGCAATATGGCTATGTCATTCCACATGAAACGCATTGATACCCATAAAATTGATAAAATAATAACAATAATAATAATCTTATACGTAGTACTTGTATAAAAATAAAATGATCACTTTTTCAACCACTTTTCACCAAAATTCTCCACGTCCTTAATCTTCAGTTTCTGTAATAATCTTTCATAAATTCCAATGTTGATAATTTCCTTAAGTATAATACGGAGTAATAAAAAAGTTAAGTTTACTTCGTATTACTTTTCACAACCCTCAAAACGGTTACTCCTTAATTGTTTTTGTTAACTTCCACCATAAAGCATAAAAAAATGAAGAAAAAAAAAACTCTCATAATCTTTAGGGAATTTTGACTTTTACCACCTTCAAATAACCACTTAATTGAATTTACCACCTCCAAAAAAAAAAAGATTTACTTTACCACCACCAAAATTTCCAAAAATTCGATTTTACCACCAACTAACGGATTCCGTCCATAAATCCGTTAGTAGGGCCCACCTTTTTGACGGTTCTTCTTCATCTTCCCCGATTTTCATATCAACCCAGCCAGCAACGAAATTAACACACCATGGTTGGTCGGAATTTCGTGTGGGGGCAAGGGAGGGGTCGGAATTTGGTGTAACCTAGGGAGGTGATCGGAATTAGGTGGTGGTTAGGGTTTTAGGAGTGCGGAATTTGGTGGTGGCTAGGGTTTTAAGAGTTGTCGGAATTAGGGGGGCTATATGGGTGGTCGGAATTTGGTGGCTAGGGTTTTGAGGTCGGAAATTGGTGAAAGGGGGTCGAAATCCGGTGTGGGGGCTGTGGCTGGGTGCGGTGCGATGCGGTGTTAGCGGTTGGTGGTGGGGCCGTAGGTCGTAGTGATTAGGTGGTGGCTAGGGTTTTGAGGTCGGAAATTGCTGGAAAGGGGGTCGAAATCGGTGTGGTGGTTGTGCGGTGCGGTGCGGTGGTTGTGGCTGTGCGTTGCGGTGGTAGTTATTAGGTGGTGGGGTCGTTGGTCGTAACGGTTAGGTGGTGGGGGCTGGTAGCGGTTAGGTGGGGGGGCTGGTCGTAGCGGTCAGGTGGTGGGGCAGGTCGTAGTCGGTCCGGTGGTGGGGTCTCGACGGTGGCAGCAACCACCGGTTGATGGATGGGGTTTTTTAATTTTTTTTTTTGTTATTTTTTAATTTTTTTTCTAAAGCTTACCCAATAATATGGCGACACGTGTGCAAGGTAGGCCCCACTAACGGATTTATGGACGGAATCCATTAGTTGGAGGTGATTGGTGGTAAAACTGATGTTTAATTTTTTTATGAGGTGGTAAAGTAAATCTTTTTTTTTTTGAGGTGGTAAATTCAATTAAGTGGTTATTTGAAGGTGGTAAAAGTCAAAATTCCCTAATCTTTATTAAAAATAAGATAACTTTCATCACTATTTTACTTCGCAAGTTTGGTCATTGGTGTATCCATTAATCCATATACAAGCAATCATAATACTAATGAAAATTTGTCAGAAAGGTCCTTTTAAGTAAGGCTTTTTGTTGTAAATGTCCTTTTATAAAAAACAAAAAGGTGGCACACAATGTGCTTTTATTGCACTTAGGTTGTGGCGAGGGTCCTTTAACCAGATTCCGACCATTGACTTTTTTTTAGACCAAAAAAAGCCACGTGCCTTGCACGTGACCGCTTAAAATCTCTTTTCCCCCCTTTTCCCTTTATTAAACCCTAATTTCTTCATCACCAACCTCAATGCGAATCCTATTTTGTGAAAAAAAAAACCATCATCAAACTCCAATTCTAGTGCCTTACATTAAAATTGAAGGCAATTGAAGACAAATCAAACCAGGTCAGAGGATAGGGGGAGGGGGAGGATTTTAAGTGGTGCAAGTGACTTTTTTTGGTCGGAAAAAAAAAAGTCAATGGCCGAAAGCCGGTCAAAGGACCCTCGCCACAACCCAAGTGCAATAAAGGACCTTTTGTGCCACCGTTTTTTATAAAAGGACCTTTGCAACAAAAAGACCTACTTAAACTTAAAAGGACCTTTGTGACAAATTTTCCTTATATTAAAAAGAATTTAAAAAAAAAAATCCACGTTAGAGTGTGAAACCTCAACTACTTCCAAAAGGTCAACTCATATAATCATATGTTATCACCTTGTTCTTCATATTATTTCTCATGATTTTCAACCAAATCCAAAATTCTCCAACCTTTCAATTTTCGGCATAAAAAAATGACAACAATAAGCACCGAAAAAATAAAGCAGACGTTTTACATATCTCATGGACCACCTAACCTTCCTATCGAGGATTCACTACCTCTCAAACATTTTTTAAAGTGTTGGAGACAGAAAATCTTTGATCAAAAACCAAAATTTATCATTATCATATCTGGTCACTGGGAAACTAATGAACCTACTGTTAATGCTGTTGATGTTTGTGATACCATCTGTTTGGGTCCAATTTAGTCCAATTGGGCCTAGGCATTAAATGATCCAATTAAAAGCCCAAGGTCAAGGTTCATCTCTCCAATTGTGCTAAAGTCAAATATCAGTCCTCAAGGCAAGCCAATTGGGCTAAGGCCCAACTTCTCCATATATGCAAAGGTATAAAAGCCATCAATATTACATTTGTACATTCATTCAAGCAAAGCCTCAAGCAATTAATTCTCTTGCATAGTGTTCTCTTTCTACACACTGTACTGACTTTAGCATCGGAGGGGCCTTCCTCGGCAACACCCCCGAGGCTAGTTTACGTGTGTTTACTGTGCAGGAAACCTTCGGCCCAACATCACTTGGACCGAATCCAGTCTTCTCCACTTCATCGGACCTTCGACAAGGTCCCATTGTTTTCACCCGAAACAATTTGGCGCCGTCTGTGGGGAGGACTTTCAAAAATCTTTAAGCCAAATTTCTAACCAAGATCATCTTGCAATTATCTTAGTAGCAATGGCTAAGAACCGCAAGAGCAAAGGCCTCCGTCAAGGAGCAGACGAAAAGCCTAAAACCCCTACACCATCACCCTCGCCGGACCGGAACTCTCCCAAGGGTGCCAGCTCGGGGGGAGGATCATACAGGGAGGATTCCCTTTCTCCCGTAATTCATAACTCTCATCATAGGCCGAGTCACTCTCGGTCTAGCAGGGGTGAGTCCGATCATAGGACACATTCAGTGCCCCAAAGCCAACCATCGACTGTGCGCTCTCATTCCCATACTCGGCCGAGGACCCCTTTGACGGGGCCCAGCTCGGAGGAGGTGGCAAGAGCGCTGGCAGTGCTCATGGAGGCAATGAGGGCACAAAATATGCCACCACCTCGTGATCGAACTCCTCCGCATACCCGGCATCAACGGAGGAAGCTAGACCATGATGGTGGGAAGCTTCCTTCCTTCCGGGAACTGGAAGAATGGGAAGAGGATACCTGGAAAACTGAAAAAGAGAGGAAAAAGAACCCTCAATTTTTCAAAGGATCCTCAACCTCCCGACCAGAAACGCATAAGAGCAGCAGCTCAGCTTCTCGGCCAGAATCTACTCACCGAGAACAACCTGAGACTGTTCGCCGAAGCGTCCTCGACCGACTCGGCGGCAAGGAACCGAGCGTGCACAGTCGCCTCTCGTTCCCTGCGGCCGAGGCCCAGACTTCCCAGCCAGGGACGAAAACCACTCCTACCTCTCTAAGAGGGCGGAGCGCGGTCCCTTCGGCCAGGAACAAGGGCAAGGCCGTTATGCTACCCGCCAGTTCGCCATTCGAGCAATGGATACTGGAAGAGCACGTGCCCACGGTTAAAATACAGTCGCACATCACATATGACGGGACCTCGGATCCGAAGGACCACATGGCCTCGTATGAGACTCATATGCATCTTTGCCTCAGATCCGAAGCGACTTGGTGCAAATATTTCCCAACCACTCTCAAGGGGGTCGCGCAAGCGTGGATCTCCAAGGGAGTAAAGCAAGGCTCCATAACAGGGTGGGATGATCTGTCCTCCAAATTTAGGAGCAAGTTTTCCACGGCAAACCGCCGAGAGAAGACTACTGCAGAACTCATGAGTCTGCAACAGGGGGAAACCGAAAGCCTCCGAGACTATCTGACCCGTTTCAGTAACGAGTCATCCAGCGTCTCTCAGTTGGACCAGGGGCTAGCCGTTTTTGCAATGCAGAATGGCCTTCAGCCCGGGAAGTTCCTAGACTTCATGGTCATGCATACCCCGCAGACCTTGGAGGAAGCTCTGAATGCCTCGGATAAGTTCATCCGAGCCGAAGAATGGAACAAAGCGAAAACCCAACCTCAATTCGGGGGAGGGAAACAAAAACAAATACCCTTGTCTGAAGGCCAAGGCCATAAGGCAAAGGGAAAGTCAAAGGCCTCGGAGCAATCTTCGGCCAGCGACCCAAAGAAGGAAAAATCTGCCTCATACACAGGCAGATACGAGTCCTACACTGCGCTCTCTCTTCCACGCGCCAAAATTTACAACGTGACGAAGGAGGAGCAGAGTTACCGAAAGCCGAGACCACTCCCAGAGTGGTATCAGCGAAAAAATAAAAATCAGTGGTGCGAGTTCCACGAATCTCCGGGACACAACACTGAGGAGTGTATCCAACTGAAGGACCAGATAGAGGACATGGTCCGGAAGGGATACTTGAAAAAATACATCGCGGATCACCGCGAGAAAAAAGAGTCCGAGAAGTCAGCAAAGGACTCTCGGCAAGACCTCGACTTCCCCCGGAAGAACAGTAAAAAGCCAGAGGGGAAATTCTCTCCGATCAATGTTATCTCGGGAGGAATATGCTCTCGGAGGGAGCACAAGCGACACCTTAGGGCTTTGACTCACCAGGTGAACAACGCTGACATTCAGTCTCCCCAATCGCCGGTGCCGAACATGACGTTCACAGCCGCCGACTGCCGGGGGGTAACGTTCCCTCACGAGGATTCGTTGGTGATCATTGCCACGGTGGCCAACCACGACGTCAGTAAGGTCCTTGTTGACGGTGGCAGCGGAGCAAACATTCTGTTCCGAAAGGCCTACAATCAAATCAAGCTGAAGCCCAAGCACCTTACGCCGGTACCCTACCCGGTATCCGGGTTCAACGGGGCTTCAACTTATCCAGATGGGAAGGTGACACTTCCTATCACCGTCGGCTGCGATGAGGCAGCCAGGAACGTCATGATTGAATTTTTGGTCATTGACGCTCCTTCAGTGTACAACGTGATTTTGGGGAGACCCATAATTCATGAGATCCAAGGGGTCGTCTCAACTTATCATCAGCTGATGATTTACGTCTCAGACGCTGGCTTCCCCGAAAGGATACAGGGCAACCAAAAGGACGCCCGAAGGTGCAACTACCTCAAGCCATCCAGTAGTCGCCCAGATGACGACAAGGATGAGGAGGAGAAAGAAAAAGAAAGAGAGCCAAGCACAAAAAAAGCCGAAAGGCCTAAGTGCTTCGGCCCAAGGATCTGTACCCAGAGATAAAGGGCCCAAAAGGGAAAAGGCTAGCTCTTCAGCTGAACAGCAAGACTCAGAGAGCCAGCCGAAGAACAAAAAGACTGGGACACCTGCTGACATAGGGAGCAGGCCAGATTCTGAAGAGTCCAGTCCATCAGCAATGGACATGGACCAACAGACTGAAACAGTTGAGTTGGCCGAAGGAGACGTTGAGAAATGTGTAACAATCGGGATGGACCTTGATCCGAACACCCGTTGTGAACTTATTCAGCTCCTTCGGGACAACAGAGATGTGTTTGCTTTTTCGGCAGCTGATATGCCCGGGATAAGTCCAGACCTCATCTCCCATAAGCTTAATGTTGACCCAACGTGTCGACCAATTAAGCAAAAGAAGCGGAATTACTCCGCTAATAAGAACCGAGACATCGCAGCCGAGGTCAAAAAATTGCTAGAGGCAGGCTTCATCGAGCCTTGCCAATATCCAGAATGGCTTGCAATTGTGGTGATGGTTCAGAAGGCCAATGGTACCTGGAGGATGTGCGTTGACTTCACGGACCTAAATAAGGCTTGTCCGAAGGATTTCTATCCCTTGCCGAGGATCGATCAGCTAGTCGATTCGACAAGTGGCCATGCCTTGCTTAGTTTCATGGACGCATTCTCGGGGTATCATCAGATCTTCATGCACCCCGACGATCGAGCAAAGACGGCATTCGTCACAAACGCTAGGGTGTACAATTACAAAATGATGCCCTTCAGATTGAAAAATGCGGGGGCAACCTATCAAAGGCTGGTGGATCAAGTTTTCGCCGATCAAAAGGGCCGAAACATGGAAGTCTATGTCGACGATTCGATCGTCAAAAGCAAAAAATCTGAGGACTATGTTAAGGACCTGACTGAAACTTTCGCCACCTTAAGAAAGCATCAAATGAAGCTGAATCCGAAGAAGTGTGTCTTCGGCGTGAAGTCAGGGAAATTCCTTGGGTTCATAGTCAGCAAGAGGGGGATTGATGCCAATCCCTCCAAAGTCAAAGCAGCGCTCAACCTTCCTGAGCCGAAAACAAAGCGGGATGTTCAGCGGCTCACCGGAAGAATGGCAGCCCTCTCGAGGTTCATTTCCAGAGCTTCGGATAATGGGTTACCTTTCTTCAAAGCCCTGAAACTCCCGAAAACAAAAGAGTTCGTTTGGGAGGAAGAGCAAAAAGACGCCTTTAAACAGCTTCGGGAGCATTTGGCTCAACTCCCAACGCTGGCTAGCCCAGCAGAAGGAGAAAGTTTGTACCTGTATGTGGCCGTTAGCCCAGCCACCATCAGTGCAGTACTGCTGAAGGAAGAAAGCAAAAGTCAGCAACCGATCTACTTTGTCAGTCATACACTGACGGATGCCGAGACTCGCTACCCTCTACTCGAAAAAGTCGCTTTCGCGGTAGTAGTAGCTGCTCGGAAGCTGAGGCCTTATTTTGATTGCCATCAGATAGTGGTCTTAACTGATCAGCCGTTGGAAAAAGTTCTCGGCAAGGTTGAAAAATCTGGTAGGCTAGCCAAGTGGGCTTTTGAGCTCACCGAATTAGCATCAGCTACCGTCTGAGGGCTGCCATTAAGGCTCAAGCTCTAGCGGATTTCTTGGCCGAATGCTCATACCAAGAAGCGTGATGGGCGTTAGAACGGTCGTACATTCCACACTCAATCAAACACATTTATTAACAAACACCTTACAAACCAAGCATAATGACAAGTAAGAGTTCGGTCCACAAGGAACAGGATATGATTGCCAAAGATCTTTACACTTAAGCTAACTCGAAGTCAATTGGTGAATAGGGGTTCGTCAAGAAGACAAACAAACTATGGTTCTAAATCAATGAATTAAAGATACTAGGGAATGAGATCCACTCAACCAAGGCAAATAGGCAAACGGGGAGTAAAATAGACAAGATATAGCAAGGACTATATGTAAAATCAACCTCATGCAATTAGAAAACAACTCACACTACTAAACTTAGA